TACATAGGTAAATGTGTATCATAGGGGTTTGTCATGCAGATTATTTCATCACCCAGGTATTATTATTTTTCCTGATCCTCTCCCTCCACCCTCCTTCAGCGTTTGATATGCCCCAGTGTGCGTTGTTCTCCTCTGTGTGTTCATATAGTTTCATCATTTAGCTCCCACTTATAAGTGAGAACACGTGATGCTTGGTTTTCTGTTCCTGTGTTTGTTTGCTAAGGATAATGGCCTCTAGCTTCATCCATGATCACGAGGACATGATCTCATTCATTTTTATGGCTGCATAGTATTCCATGGTGTGTATATACCACATTTTATTTATCCAGTCTATCATTGATGAGCATTTAGCTTGATTCCATGTATTTGCTGTTGTGAATAGTGCTGCAATGAATATACACATACATGTGTCTTTATAATGGAATGATTTATATTCCTTTGGGTATATACCCCATAATGGAATTGGAATTGCTGGGTCAAATGGTATTTCTGTCTTTAGGACTTTGAGGAATTGCCACACTGTCTTCCACAGTAGTTGAACTAATTTATACTCCCACCAGCAATGTACAGGTGTTCCTTTTTCTCCATAATCTCACCAGCATTTGTTATTTTTTTGACTTTTTAATAATAGTCATTCTGACTAGTGTGAGATGGTATCTTATTGTGGTATTGATTCACAGTTCTCTAATGATCAGTGATTTTGAGCTTTCTTCATATGATTGTTGGCCACATGTATGTCTTCTTTTAAGAAGTGTCTGTTCATGTGTTTTGCCCATTGTTTAATTAGGTTGTTTGTCTTTGTCTCGTAAATTTGTTTAAGTTCCTTATAGATGCTGGATATTAGAACTTTGTCAGATGTGTAGTCTTCAATTCTGTAGGCTGTCTGTTTACTCTGTTGATAGTTTCTTTTGCTTTGCAGAAATTCTTTAGTTTAATTAGATCCCATTTGTCAACGTTTGCTTTTGTTGTGATTGCTTTTGACATCTTTGTCATGAAATCTTTGCTTGTGCCTATGTTCTGAATAGCATTACCTAGGTTGTCTCCCAGAGTTTTTATAATTTTTGGTTTTATATTTAAGTCCTTAATCTATTTTGAGTTAAGTTTTGTATATGGTGTAGGGAAGGGGTCCAGTTTCCATTTTAGGCATATGGCTAGCCAATTATACCAGTCCCATTTATTGAACAGAGAATTCTTTTCCCATTGCTTGTTTTTGTCTAGTTTGTCATAGATCAGATAACTGTAGGTATGTGGTCTTATTTCTGGGTTCTCTATTCTGTTCCATTGGTCTTATGTGTCTGTTCTTGTACCAGTACCACGCTGTTTTAGTTACTATAGCCCTGTAGTATAGTGTGAAGTTGAGTAGCATGATACCTCCAGCTTTGTTCTTTTTGCATAGGATTCAGGCTCTTAGCTATTCAGGTTCTTTTTTGGTTCCATATAAGTTTTAAAATAGTTTTTTCTAGTTCTGCCTAGAATGTCAATGGTAGTTTAATGGGAATAGCATTGAATCTGTGAATTGCTTTAGGCTATATGGCCATTTTAATGGCATGATTCTTCCTATCCATGAGCATGAAATGTTTTTTTGTTTGTTAGTGCCATCTCTTCTTTGAGCATTGTTTTGTAGTTCTCCTTGTAGAGACCTTTCACCTCCCTGGTTAGCTGTATTTCTACGTATTTTATTCTTTTTATGACAACTGAATGAGAGTTCATTCATGATTTGGCTCTCAGATTTACTGTTGTTGGTATATAGGATGTTAATGACTTTTTCACATTGGTTTTATATCCTGAGACTGAAGTTGCTTATCAGCTGAAGAAGCTTTTGGGCTGAGGTGATAGGATTTTGAAATATAGGATCATGTCATTACAATCAGGGATAGTTTGATTTCCTCTCTTTTTATTTAAATGCCCTTCATTTCTTTCTCTTTCTTGATTGCCTTGGCCAGAACTTCCAATATTATATTGAATAGGAGTGGTGAGAGAGGGCATCTTGTCTTGTGCTGGCTTTCGAGGGGAATGCTTCCACCTTTTGCCAATTCAGTATGATGTTGGTTGTGGGTTTGTCATAGATGGCTCTTGTTATTTTGAGGTATGTTCATTCAATACCTAGTTTATTGAGAATTTTTAACGTGAAGGGATGTTGAATTTTATTGAAAGCCTTTTCTGCATCTATTGAGATAATCATTTGTTTTTTCTCTTTAGTTCTGTTTATGTGATCCATCACATTTATTGATTTGTATATGTTGAACTAACCTTGCATCCCAGTGATGTAGCCTGCTCAGTCATGGCAGATAAACTTTTTGATGTTCTGCTGGATTCAGTTTGCCAGTATTTCATTCAGAATTTTTGCATCAGTGTTCACCAAGGATATTGTCCTGCAGTTTTCTTTTTTTGTGGTTGTATCTCTACCAGGTTTTGGTATCAGGATGATGCTGGCCTCATAGAACAAGTTAGGGAGGAGTCCCTCCTTTTCAATTTTTTGGAATTCTTTCAGTAGAAATGATGCCAGCTGTTCTTTGTACATATGGTAGAATTCAGCTGTGAATCTGTCTGAGTGCATTTTTTGGTTGGTAGGCTATTTATTACTGCCTCAATTTCTGAACTTTTTGTTGGTTTGTTCAGGGATTCAATTTCTTCTTCCTGGTTCAGTCTTGGGAGGGTGTATATATCTAGGAATTTATCTGCTTCTTCTAGATTTTCTAGTTTATGTGCATAGAGATGTTTATAGTATTCTCTGATGGTTGTTTGTATTTCTGTGGGGTCAATGGTAATATTCCCCTTATTGTTTCTGATTGTTATTTGAAACTTCTCTCTTTACTTATTTATTAGTCTAGGGAGAAGTCTATTTTATTAATTTTTTCTTAAAAAACAGCTCTGGATTCGTTGATCTTTTGAATGGTTTTTGTGTCTCTGTTTCCTTCAGATCACCTCTGATTTTGGTTATGTCTTGTCTTCTGCTACCTTTGAGATTTGTTTGCTCTTTGTTCTTTAGTTCTTTTAGTTCTGAAGTTAGGTTGTTAACTTGAGATTTAATTTTTTGATGTGGTCGTTTAGTGCAACACAGTTTCCTCTTTACAGTGCCTTAGCTGTGTCCTAGAGATTTGGGTACATTATCTCTTTTTTTCTCATTAGTTTCAAAGAACTTATTGAATTTTGCCTTAATTTCATTATTTACCCGGGAGTAATTCAGGATCAGGTTGTTCAATTTCCATGTAGTTGTGTGGCTTTCAATGAATTTCTTAGTCTTGAATTCTAATTTAATTGTGCTGTGGTCTGAGGTTTGTTAATTTTGCATTTGCTGCGGAGTGCTTTGCTTCCAATTATGTGATCAGTTTTAGAGTAAATGCCATGTAGCGATGAGAAGAATGTATATTGTTGTTTTGGGGTGGAGAGATCTGTACATTTCTGTCAGTTCCATTTGATCCAGTGCTGAGTTCAGATCCTGAAGATCTTTGTTAATTTTCTGTCTCTATGATCTGTCTAATGTTGTCAGTGGAATCCTGAAGTTTCCCACTATTATTGTATAGGAGTCTTAGTCTCTTTGAAGGTCTCTAAGAACTTGCTTTGTGAATCTAGGTGCTCTTGTGTTGGGTACATAGATATTTAGGATAGTTGGCTCTTCTTGTTGAATTGAACGCTCTATCATTATGTAATGCCCTTCTTTGCCTTTTTTTTTTTTTTTTTTTTTATGTCTTTATTAGTTGAAAGTCTGCTTTGTCAGAAACTGGGATTGCAACCCCTGCCTTGCTCTGTTTCTTGGTAGATTCTCCTCCATCCCTTTATTTTGAGTCTGTGACATACCTAGGTTATATGGTTTAGTCTGTTGCTCCAGCCATTGTTGCATATGTGGTCCATCATTGATTGTTATACAACACATGTCAGTACGTGAACATGATATATCTATTTTATTTTAGTTTTTTATTTCTCTCATCAGTATTTTGTAATTTTCAGCACATCCCATCTTAAACATATTTTGTTAGATTTGTACTTAAAGAATTTCATAGTATTAGTACTGTTTTAAATGGCATTTTAATAAAGTATGAATTTCTAATTGTGCATTGTTAATATATAGAAATACAATAGATTTGCCCTTGTATCTTTCAGCCTTGACACACTCACTTATTCTAGTACCTTTTTTGGAGATTCTTTTGTATTTCCTTTTTAGATGATCATATGTCTTGAGTAGAGACTGTTTCATTTCTACTTTTCCAATCTTTATGCCTTTTATTATGTTTTCTTGCTTTATTGCACCAGCTATGGCCTCCTGTATGATGTGGAATAGGAGTGGTGAAAGTGGATACCTTTGCCTTTTTCCCAATTTTAGAGGGAAAGTTTTTTACCGTTAATTTTGATATTAGCTGTAGGATTTTTATAGATACATTTTATCAACTAGAGGTGGTTCCCTTTCATTTCTGGTTTGCTGAGTTTTTATAATGAATTGATGTTGAATTTTATGAAATTATTTTACTATGAGTATTAAGATGGTTATTTGGTTTTTCTTCTGTAGTCTGTTGATGTGATGTATTATACTGATTGATTTTGAATGTTGAAGCTTTGCATTACTGGCATAAGATTCACTTAGTTGTAATTTGTTATCTTTTTATGTATTGCTGGGTTTATCTTGCTAATATTTTGTGGAAGATTTTTGCATCTGTATTCATGAGCTTAAATTGATTTTAAGTAAATACCAGAAGGATTTAACTTAAGGGAGAACTATCTAATTTACAATAACCCTTTCATTGAGGGCAACTAGAAAAACTCAAAAAATGGAAAAGGGTTATTTAAAAAAAAAAAAAAATTAGACCCACAAACCATGCAGAGAAAAAGGTTCTTAGAAACATCATAGAGCTATCAGACTGACTGGTCAAATCTCCACATTTAGAGGCAAGGGAACATATGGAATATATTGTCCATTTTGCAGTTATAATTGTTATTTTAAAAATAAGATAATATTTTTTGGATCTGGCATAAATAGTTTATTTTTTACTTTTGTTTCTCTAAAGGTAGACATAAACACATTAACTCAGAACCTGCAGACTCTTGAAGAAGAGAATAAGCAGCTGGCAGATCAAATGGCTTCCCTAGAACTTCAGCAAGTCACTTCTGATTACCATGGGGTGGGTATAAAAAGGTCAGTCCAAATAGCAATTAGTGACTAATGAGTTCAGAAACAGCAACAACCAGAAGTCAGAAGATGGGTTTTCTTTGTGTTTTCATAATTATTATAAATCTTGAATAATTCAGAACAAATATAGCAGAGATTCTTACAGTAGTCAAACAATAGTTAATTTGAGAAACTATGAATTTAAGGCATTTATTAAACATTTGCCTTCACAAACCATCTATGTTGTTACTGAAAACTACAAATAATACGACAATTTAAAATAGTTCCTCTTCCATAAATTATGAGGAAAAACCTTGTATTTTTTTTTCTCATCAGACAATTCCTTCCATTAGGCAATCAGTAATAAGTCTGATTTCTGAAAGCTATTTGACAAGGTCAGTGCATTACAAATAAATGGTACAGTTCTTAAAACATCTTCTCCAAGTAAGGGGGATTTAAAGATATGGTCATTCTGTTAAGTAGCTAATAATTTTCTTATGTGCTTTTGAATACATGAGAAAGTATTGCTTAGTGCTTTTAAGCATGCAAATAATCTTAGAAAATTCCTAGAAGACCCTGATGTGAGTCTGTTTTCACCAGGCTAAAGTCTTTCAAACCATCATAAGCTGCTCATTACTTCAACTATGAAAAATTATACAGACTAAGTCTAAATCTTCTTATATTGTCATGGGTTTCAAGCCAGATTTCCTACTTTTCAGTTTTGGCCATGACCTTGGGTGTGATCCTTAACCTCTCTGAGCCTCAGTTTCTTAATCTGTCAAAGTGAGGATAATAATGCTATTACTATGAGGATGTTTGAGGTTAAGTAAATTAATACATACAGGACATGTAGCAGATAGCTAATGTTTATTGAATTCTTAGTATCTGAACTGTCTCAGAGAAAAATAACTGACTATTGGAATGACAGGATCCATTAGCTATAATCCCTGGTACTATTTTAGAACAACCCTCTGTCTCTACAGAATTAAAGATTCAGCCATGTCCTTTGCTTTTTGGCTAGCCTAAGCTGGGTTCCTTTGGAAGACCACATTCTCAGTCTATTTCCTGAATCCATTGCCAGTGAGCAGGCCTAGCCTTACTTTATTAGTGACTTTGACAGATCTTGCCAGTGATTTAGTCAATGTTGATTTTTGCCTGCCTACCTGTCTTGATTACGGGTTCCCAGTAATAACTCATAGACAACACAATTCTAGCTTGTAGTTCTGTCTCCACCCAGAAGCGTCTCTGACCATGCCTGCCTGGAAATGCTTCAGTTGGCTATGTGATTTTGAGGAATGAACTAGAGATTTCAGGATTTATTTTTGAATCTTAGCAATATCATTAAACCTATTGTCATTCAATGCTGGTAGTTTATTTTTGTGCTTTGACAGTTAAAACTTGAAATTCTTTATAAAGGGTACCTTCTGGTATAACCCCTCATTGATTTTTAGAGATACACATATGTGTGTTTGTGTGTAATGCCACAAACTTGAATTCAGATAGACCTGGTTTCAACCTCCATTTACTGTGTGACCTGGGAAGGCTCTTAACCTCTCATGGCCTGCAATGCCAAGAGGATCTCTCCTAGTGTAGGTATTCCACAGTATACTCTGCACACCCATATGTCAGAATAATTACTACATTGATTAGAAATGGACCTGTTTATGCATCTGTGTTCACTCTCTTCTAATACAAGAAGAGTAGTTACTCATTTTTGTCTTCCCTTGCCTAGCAGAATGCCTAATACATAATAGGTGCTTTAAAAACATTGACTGACTAGAATACAAAGAGGGTCATGTCTGTTTTGCCAGGCAGTAAGGATTAATGTCATATTGCAGTAATATTCTCTCTGCTTTTTCTTTTACATTTCCTAATTTTAGGTTTATTTTTTGCCGTTTTAGCCTGTAGTGATAGTGCAATTAATTCCGTTACTACTGACAGTCAGGCAGGGAACCACAGTGAGAAAAGATCCACATGTAGGAAGGTTTCCATGCCTGAGTTCAATTTGAATGTTTATCCTCCCCACTTCTCTTTTGGGGTTTAAACATATATTTTAAAATTGTAGCACCAGACAGAAATATAATTTCCTGTATAACTGGGACTTTAATGACTTGAAATTAAATAATGAACTAAAATGTATTATTTCTTAAAACCAGGATGACATTGTCAGTAACTCTTTGACATCATGCAGATGTCAAAGTTGATTTGATTTGCTGGGGTTCATGTCATACTGGGTTGTTAAATATTTTGAATAAAAATTTCAAAATAATTAAAAACTTTAAAAAATGTTTATAGTCTGCCTATAAAATAGGTTTACCAAGATGCCAGTATCCCACTGGTTTTGTGTATTCTTATAACAGCTTCTGCTAACTTGTACACCTCACCTGGGTTTACAGAATGATTTTAGAAATAATTTTGTGGCTTACTTTTGATCTTTGGCAACCTGCCTTTCATATCTTAAGATAATTCTCCCTATTTTTACTTCCTGTTTTTCCAGAGTGTTATCTGTGTGTTTCTGAGTTAAAATGGATATTCTAATGCTTGACATTTTTCTCTGTATGTTTCTTAAGTGATTACTCATTTTCTGTTTTGCTGTGTATATTAATAATGTTTATAGTATGTTACCAAGAGTATTTAAGCAAAAGTTAATATTAGTTAAGTCTTTTATAACTCAGAACCTGAGATATTCACTCATTTAAGTAGTTTCTAATTTCTGGTCTCCTGTTGATTAAAGTACAGAGCCTATTTAATTCTGTAAACAGTAATTTAAGTAGCTGCCTTAACATCCACTTTCCCTTAGCAACTGGAAACAATTTTTTTGTGTGTGTCATAATATTTAAATAAGTAACTCTTTGTCAAATATTACATTCTGATTTTGCTCAGACAATTTTCATTTAGTATATTAGCATTCTCTTTGATGGTAAAATGGGAAGATTATTACTTTAAAAGTATATTTAAAAGATTAATAGAATTTCTTTATGCCTTTGTCTAAAAGAGGGAATTGTATTGATGGGAAAAAGTACCATTATTTAAAAAATTTTTGGTCAACTTTTATAGAAGACACAGATAATTTATTCCTTAATAAAACCTTTCTACATTTCAAGAAGATAGTTATTTTTTAGTGTTTACTGTTTGTTATAACTCGCATATTTTAAGTTAACTCTGGTTCTTGGTTTTTCATATGTTCTACCTATGCTTTATAGCACACTGGGACATGTTAATTTGTAGAAGTTTGAATCAAGTTTTAAATAATTAAGATTTTGTTGTTGTTATAGCTTTGCTTTTGAGGTATTATTGACCGTCCTTGCAGTTTATTTTGCTGCTGAAGACTTGGTCAACATAATCCTACTTTACTTGTCTAAATGCTTTTTAAAATATATTTGCCTTTGCCTTAGGAGGAGCTGTACAGTTATTATTATTATTATTTTTTGAAACAGACCCTTGCTTTGTCACCAGGGAGTGCAGTGGTGCAATCCCGGCTCACTGTAACCTTTGTCTCTTGGGTTCAGGCTTTTCTCCTGCCTCAGTCTCCCGAGTAGCTGGGACTACAGGCATGCACCACCACGCCCAGCTAATTTTTGTAGTTTTAGTAGAGATGGAGTTTCCCCATGTTGGCCAGGATGGTCTTGATGTGTTTGCCAGTATAGTCCCGATCTCTTGACCTTGTGATCTGCCCGCCTCAGTCTCCTAAAGTGCTGGGGTTACAGGCGTGAGCCACCGTGCCTGGCCCACAGTGATTTTTAAAACTTTTAAAAACTGAATTATGAATATTTATAATTATGAAATATTAATTCTGACAGGACAAATACTTGGTCATAATAGTTTATAATCCACCAAAAACTAATATTGGATATAAGTTTTTATATCAAAAGTGTATCATTTTAGGGTAGGTGGCATATAAGGGCTAATAATTCTTTTTGGGTTTTCCATAGATTTTTATCAAGTGTTGAATGTCAAAAATGCAAATTCTTCTAGCCAAGGCAACTGCTAAGGAGAAAACAATGAGTCAGCCTACTTTGCCTTCTTTTTTTTCTTTTTTCTTCTTTAGAGATGGGGGTCTTGCTTGGTCTTCCAGGCTGGAGTGTAATGGCACCATGACAGCTCACTCTAGCCTCGACTTGCTGAGTTCAAGCAATTCTCCTACCTCAGCCTCTCAAGTAACTAGGATTAAAAGTGTGCACCACTATGCCCAGCTAATTTTTTAACTTTTTGTAGAGACAGGGTCTTGCTATGTGGACCATACTGGTCTTGAATTCCTGCCCTCAAGTGATCCTCCCACTTTGGCCACCTAAAGTGCTGGGATTACAGGTGTGAGCCACCATGCCCAGCTTAGTGTACCTTCTCATAGAAAATATTTTGAACAGAGGAAAATTTAAGTTACATATTATAGTAATCTAGTTTAGAATTTTTTTTCTTTGATTTAGAGGCAGGTGTGTTGGGTTCACTTACTTGAAATAAAGGATATTACAAAGTGGTGACTAAAGAATAGCTGTAATCATGTTGGAAATGATGAGGAATATCTCCTATGTAAATTAATACATGAGTTTTATCTTTATCAGCTTATCTAAAGTTGAACATAAAACAGAAGTCTAAAATTCTTTGGCTTAAAATGCCTAAAAGACATTCTGTTCTATTATTCACCATATAGGCAAATATAAACCAGAAATAGTGAATAATGTCAATATAGATACTTGCCAACATTAATAAGACTTTGAACTTAATATTTACTGCAAATGATCCATCGTGCAGCTAGTTAGCTTATCAGTGATTAAGAGTTTGTGTCATTAGTCACATTTGCTTGTGTGTCCTTTATCTCCACATTTGGTTTATGATAATTTTGAAATATGGCTATTTTTCCTGTTATTAAGATATAATACTGGCATTGATTGTGGAGAGTGAAAATCTCCATGTTCAGTCAGTTAATGATGCCCCTCATATAAAAAAAGTACCAATATGGCCCAAAGTTTAATCAAAAGAAAACTATATTTTGTACTTATTTTTTCTGATACAGTCTGAGAACAACAGCATATGAAAAAATAATTTTTGTTATTAAGGGCTGTTTAATGAAAATATGTAATTTTATGAAATACAGAACCTTTGGTAATGTTTGCCCAAGATAATGCTGTGTTGCGTATTTGATCAAACAATGAGTTTGAGTCTCCAATAAACATTTATTTTGTTTTTGAGATTTTTCTGAACAGCTTTTTACCATGGTAAGTGAGGTGCTTTCTGCTGTCAGTGGTTGTGGTCATTTGCAGCTGCTATTTTCATCAAGAACTGTGTAATTCTCCACAGACTACCTGCAGTCACTCATACAACCACACCACATCTGAATTGGATCGCAATTACAGGGGAATAACTGACATAACAAAGAAAGAGTTAATATACAAACTAACAAACTCTGGTACTCTTAAGGCTTCATGCTTTTATTAGCAGTCTGTACATGTTGCATATTAGCCATGTGATCAACTATGTTGGAAGAGATTAAAAGGCAGCAGTAGCAAATAAATAGGAATCTTGATCTTATGATGATAGAAATGATAAGGATATAAATACTTGTTTAAAAATGAAAATGGTTATTCCTTTCTATGCTTAGAGATTCTAATGCCTGTGTTTGCCTTATCAGCTTGTCCAACAGAAGGTGGAAAATGTCTTGGGAAAAATTACTGAAAGTAAAAATAAACTAGCCTATGAAAAGGGAAAACTCCAGGTATGAGATTTATTTTCTGATTTTTCTTGTCTGAATTTTAAGAATACCAATTGTCAAAAACAAGCAATGAGGAAAGGATTCCCTATTTAATAAATGGTGTTGGGAAAACTGGCAAGCCATATACAGAAAACTGAAACTGGACCCCTTTCATATACCTTATACAAAAATTAACTCAAGATGGATTAAAGACTTAAATGTAAGACCTGAAACCATAAAAACCCTAGAAGAAAACCTAGGCAGTATCATTCCGGACATAGGCATGGGCAAAGGTTTTATGACTAAAATACCAAAAGCAATGGTAACAAAAGCCAAAATTGATTGACAAATGGGATCTAATTAAATTAAGGAGCTTCTGTACAGCAAAATAAAATATCATCAGAGTGAACAGGCAACCTACAGAATAGGAGAAAATTTGTGCAATCTATCCATCTGACAAAGGGCTAATATACAGCATCTACATGGAACTTAAACAAATTTACAAGAAAAAAACAACCCCATCAAAAAGTTGGTGAAGGGTATGAACAGACACTTCTCAAGACGACATTTATACGGCCAACAAACATATGAAATAAAGCTCATCATCACTGGTCATTAGAGAAATGCAAATCAAAACCACAATGAGATACCATCTGTCAGGTAGAATGGTGATCATTAAAAAGTCAGGAAATGGTTCACATGTTCAGTCTTCCTTGGCTGACTTGCCGCCCTCACTGCTGCACCATGGATACCGTGAGACAGGTGTTCAACTTCAGACGTGGTCCCACCAAACTGCCACACTCGGTGTTGTTAGAGATACAAAAGGAATTATTAGACTACTTGTTAGAGATACACAAAAGGAATTATTAGACTACAAAGGGGTTGGCATTAGTGTTCTTGAAATGAGTCACAGATCGTCAGATTTTGCCAAGATTATTAACAATACAGCGAATCTTTCGCAGGAATTGCTAGCCATTCCAGACAACTATAAGGTGATTTTTGTGCAAGGAGGTGGGTCCAGCCAGTTCAGTGCTGTCCCCTTAAACCTGATTGGCTTGAAAGCAGGAAGATGTGCGGTCTGTGTGGTGACACGAACTTGGTCAGCTAAGGCCACAGAAGCCAAGAAGTTTGGAACTATAAATATCATTCACCCTAAACAAAAACTCCAGATCCAAGCACCTAGAACCTCACCCAAGATGCCTTCTACCTGTATTATTGTGCAAATGAGACAGTGCATGGTGTGGAGTTTGACTTTATACCCGATGTCAAGGGAGCAGTACTGGTTTGCGACATGTCCTCAAACTTACTAAGTCAGTGGATGTTTCCAAGTTTGGTATGATTTTTCTGTGGTGCCCAGAGGAATGTTGGCTCTGCTGGGGTCACCGTGGTGATTGTCCATGATGACTTGCTGGTGTTTGCCCTCCGAGAGTGCCCCTTGGTCCTGGAATACAAAGTGCAGGCTAGAAACAGCTCCTTGTACAACACGCCTCCATATTTCAGCATTTTACATTACAGGCTTGGTCCTGGAGTGGATTAAAAACAATGGAGGTGCCATGGCCATGGAGAAGCTTAGCTTCATCAAATCCTAAATGATACATGAGATTATTGTTAATTATCACGGATTCTACGTATGTCCAGTGGAACCCCAAAATAGAAACAAGATGAATATTCCATTCCACATTGGCAATGCCAAAGGAGATGATGCTTTAGAAAAAGGATTTCTTGATAAAGCTCTTGAACTCAATATGTTGCCCTTGAAAGGACATAGGTCTGTGGGAGACATCTGGGCCTCTCTGTATAATGCTGTCACGATTGAATATGTTCAGAAGCTGGCCGCCTTCATGAAAAATTTTTCGGAGATGCATCAGCTATGAACACATCCTAACCAGGATATACTCTGTTCTTGAACAACATACAAAGTTTAAAGTAACTTGCAGATGGCTACAAAAAGTTGACAAACACAGTATTTTTCTCAAATGAACATGGTTATTACAGATTCTTCTTTTTTGAAAGAACAACAGCAAAACATCTACAGCTCTGCAAAAATGGTGGAACCTAATGTTTGCCTTAATTCTGACTTGAACTGGAAGCATTTTAAGAAATCTTCTCATTGCTTTTCTAACAAATTCCAGCTTATTTTGCCTTTGCTCCTACTTTTTCTAGTTAGATTTCAAACTTGCCTGTGGACTTAGTAATGCAAGTTGCAACTATTTCTGGAGTCATGGGAACACACAGCATAGAGAGTAGGTGGGGTCCTCTAGGTGCTGAATCTAGACATCTGTGCGGTCTCCTGGGTTCAGCGGCTGTTGATTCAAGGTCAGTATTGACCATTGGGGGAGTGATTTAAGAATACCAGGCAAAGGACAAACTGTAGATCCATCTTTATACTGTTATTACAAGAGAAGTGACATATTTTATGTATGTTTATATTAGCAAGGTCTGTTTTTAATACTATATACTTTCTATTTCTATGCATTTATATTTCTAATAATACAGTTATCACTGATACATGTAGAGACTTTTAGAACTTATAAATCCTTGACCTTGTGCATTATAGCATTTCATTAGCAACAGTTGCACCAGCTCCCCAGTCTTCCCCTTCTTCTTTTTAAACTGTTTTCTGAAAAAAAGCTAGAAGTTCTTGATTCATTTTTACTGCTTTTTTCATAGGTAGAAGAGAAAGTTGATTGGTTGGTTGTTTTTTAAATTATGCCATTAAACTAAACATTTCTGTTAAATTACCTTTTAAAAAAAGCCAGGAAACAACAGATGCGGGGGAGGATGTGGAGAAATAGGAACACTTACACTGTTGGTGGGAGGGTAAATTAGTTCAACCATTGTGGAAGACAGTGTTGCGATTCCTCAAGGATCTAGAACTATAAATACCATTTGACCCAGCAATCCCATTACTGGATGTATACCCAAAGGATTGTAAGTCATTCTGCTATAAAGACACATGCACACGTATGTTCATTGCAGCACTATTCACAATAGCAAAGACTTGGAACCAACCCAAATGCCCATCAGTGATAGACTGGATAAAGAAAATGTGGCACATATACACCATGGAATACTATGCAGCCGTAAAAAGGATGAGTTTTTGTCCTTTACAGGGACATGGTTGAAGCTGGAAACCATCATTCTCAGCAAAGTAACACAGGACCAGAAAACCAAACACCACATGTTCTCACTCATAGTGGGAGCTGAACAATGAGAACACACGTACACAGGGAGGGGAATATCACACACCGGTGCCTGTTGGGGGTGGGGGACTAGGGGAGGGATGGCATTAGGAGAAATACCTAATGTAGATGATGGGTTGATGGGTGCACCAAACCACCATGGCATTTGCATACCTATGCCGTGGTATGTAACAAACCTGCGCATTCTGCACATATTCGCCAGAACTTAAAGTATAATTTTAAAAAATACCAATTTTCAAATATTGCTAGATTTTGAGAATACCTAGCTTTGTCATTTACTAAGTCTGTAGTGTCTGAACATCCCTAAGTTTGTGGCCTCATTAATCTCCAGATGACTTCTATTTACGAGCTGCTGAAACCTAAAATTATGAAGCCAAAACCTATTCTGTAATTGTTTGAAGCTTTATTATAATCATTTGTGCATGGTCATTCACTGAGAATGTAGAAAGCCTATAGCTCTTTTTGCTGAATTTTTATAACACATTTCTAAAAAGAAATAACCCTGGAAAGAGGCAATTGAATAGACTGGTTTATCCATGGAGACAGGGTTTCTGCCTGAGTTCACAAAAATATTATTCATCCATAAAATATTTGTCAAAAATAAAAATACTGGACAAATAGCTTCATCTATTAATATTAATATTTTCCAGAGGTAGCGATGCATTTATTATCTACACTTGTGTGACCATGGAAAGGTCTTAATTTTCTTGAGTTTCATCTTAATCATCTGTAAAATGAGGATGAGCACACCTCTCTTACCTACTTCTCATTGGGAAAAATAGGCTACATTATAGGCTGGGTGTATACATTTTTACAGGCATAAAATAACTTTCTCCTTTGTGAAATGAATGATATCATAAGAGGCTGGGACGCATGACTTTAACCTTTTTTTAGCTTTCCCAAGAAAAATGAAGTGTATTATTAAATATATAAGACAAATCCCAGGCCCTCACGAAGACTTAAAGCCAAATTTTGACTGGGAATGGAATATATTTTATAATTTATGAATGGGTCTGATGTTATCTGTCTGACCTTTTAAACCTCAACTATGCAGTCTTAGAAATTATCTAGATTGTATGTAATCATAAGGAAAAATATGTGCCTTTTTGCTGTTCATATTCCTATAATAATAATTTAAGATTTTTGATAGGCTTTGAAGAAATACTTTTTGAACTATTGTAAACTATTGATATCATTGATGCTTTTATGTCAGGTGTTGGGCCGACACATTCCAAAAGCACTGACTTCATCAGCTCTAGGAAAAGTGCTCTTGGAGCACATAACTCTTACAGGACAGTTTAAAGGAAGAGCTGTACACTAAACGTTGTCAGAACAGTAGTCTGCTGTATGTTCTCTCTCAACTGGATTAGAATGGATTAAAAATATACATAGGAATTGTATTTGGTAAAAGACTGCATTTTCAGAATCAACTTGTTAATGAATGATATAAATACTGGATTTCATGTGTTAACTTAGACTGTATTGGAAACTGCTGCCTCATGTTCAAACATGGTTTGAACTTCCTTTTCAGTGCTGCACAGTATTCAATTATGTAAATATGTCACAATGTATTTATTCTTCTGTTGATGGATAATCAGCTAGTTTCTAACTGACTGCAAGCAATAACAATAATGATATGATGAATTTTGTACCTGCCTCCTTATACTCACATACAAAAGATGCTCTCAGCTAAATATAATTCTGAGGAGTAGGATTATTGGGTTTTAGGATGTGCATATCCTGAACTTCACTAAATTTTGTCATTATTTCCCCTAAAATAGTTATGCTAGTTTTAAAATCAGTATATTTAAGAGGGTATATTAAATAGGTGCATTAGAGTTACATGTGTTAACATGGATGAATCTCATAAAACAATACTATATACTGTTTAGGGATACATATAAAATTACTTTTTAAAGAGTAGGGATGATAAATTCAGCATAAGAGTTAACTCTAGGATTAAAAGAGGAGATTTGGTTGGGGTAGGCTACACAGACGCTTTCAATTGTACCGGTAATGTTTTATTAAGTTCAGTGGTGGATAGATGGGATAGATGGTATTTATGTCTGAAAGATTTCCAGCACTTTTTAAGTTGTTTTTAAACATATGTCAATTTGATTTACTTAGCCTCACTCTAATCCTCACTCTAATCTACCATTGGCCCCATCGCCTAACCAATAGGATTTCAACATTGTGTTAGCTGCCTGGCCCCAGTAAGCAATTGCATTTGTGACCTTAATTTAGAAGTTAGGTAAGTGCTTGATATACTTTAGTTTTTCAGTTAATTTCTTGTTGAATTATAACATATATCTGAAAAGTACACAGGGCACAGCCTCATGAATTTTTTATAAAGTAAATGTACCTATGTGATCAGCACTCAGATCAAGAAGCAGAGCATCCCCAATACCCAGCACCCTCTTCCAGTAACTGTCACCCACAGGGCTTATTAACCATCCTGACGTGTAACAACCCGTTCAAATATTAACAGTTGCTGAAAATGTACAATAGCTGCAGTGAAATAGATGTTTTGCCTCTACAGATAGGAAACAAGATATTGAGAGATGGAATTTAAAAAATTTGAATGAAAATTTTCCTGATTTAGGGGTAGGTTCAGTAATGTTAATTGTTGTATTTGAGGGGGTTGGGGATAAAAGGAAGCAAATATGGAAAAACACATACTTTGGAGATGTATGAGTATATATTAAATAATTTTGTCCTCCAAAATAATAATTTTCTTTAAAGAGAGACGTGTGAGTAGTCATCTTTGTGAATTAGTTTTAAAATATAATTCAGGGGGCCGGGCACGGTGGCTCAAGCCTGTAATCCCAGCACTTTGGGAGGCCGAGGCGGGTGGATCACAAGGTCGAGAGATCGAGACCAACCTGGTCAACATGGTGAAACCCCGTCTCTACTAAAAAAAATACAAAAAATTAGCTGGGCATGGTGGTGCGTGCCTATAATCCCAGCTACTCAGGATGCTGAGGCAGGAGAATTGCCTGAACCCAGGAGGCGGAGGTTGCGGTGAGCCGAGATCGCGCCATTGCACTCCAGCCTGGGTAACAAGAGCGAAACTCTGTCTCAAAAAAAAAAAAAAAAAAAAAAAAAAATATATATATATATATATATATATATATATATATATATATAATTCAACATATAAGAATTCCATTTATTCAACTTTCGTAATTCTGTGTCAGTGAAATATAAGACTCTATGCCTGTTCCTCCTGACCCCCACTCCATTCTTCTGGTCTAATATGTCTGCTTCTTACATTGACAGTTCTAATTATACATACTCAAAGGATTTTGAATGCCAGGTACCACGATTCAAATATATTAGCCACAAATTTTTGAATTAGGTTAGCCACAAAATCTCAGTTATATTCATGTGTCATGTCCATTTGGAGGTCTGTAAGCACTAGAAATCAAATGAGTTATTTCAGTACAATTAAATGGCTACAGTGTCTAAATCATTTTTTGCATGATTAAACTTAGGATTGTTTTTTGCAAGTTTTAAGGATTCTTTTTTTTTTATTACAACTCATGACCTTTTTTTCCCCCTCCTGGAGTATATAAATATGTGTATATATATATATATTATATATATATATATATATATATATATATATATAATGTCTTTATTTTTAAAATTATTTTTCTCTATTTTTGTTTTTCCTCTAGATAAAAGTTAAACAGCTAGAAGAACAAGTACAATCTTTTACTGACACCAGCTTACAGAATGACCAACTACGAAAGTTGAACAAGGTGCTACAGGCCAAATATGCCCAGGTGTGATTAATATCTACAAAAGTGGATTGCTGCTATATTTAGTTTTTTTGTGTCTGTTTTTTTGTGTCTGTTTTTGCTTTCGTTCTCTGGCTGAAGTGATCAGGAAACACTACCTTTTTCCAAGTATCTTTCCTCTGTGCAAAGAAAAGTGCTCTTTATTTTTACTTCTATTTTAAGATTTTATTAAGTGTTGGCAAATATATGTGTGTATGTAGTTCGTGGATTTTTTTTAAATTTATTATAAATTTTCTGGGGTATATGTGCAGAACGTGCAGGTTTGTTACATAGATATAGACGTGCCATGGTGTTTTGCTGCATCCATCACCCCGCCATCTATGTTAGATATTTCTCCTAATGCTATTACTCCCCAATTCTCCCACTCCCTGCTATCTCTCCCTAGCTCTCCAGGCCCTGGTGTGTGATGTTCCCCTCCTTGTGTCCATGTGTTCTCATTGTTCAACACCCACTTATGAGTGAGAACATGCGGTGTTTGGTTTTCTGTTCTATTACACCTGCACATGTATGTTTATTGCAGCACTCTTCACAATAGCAAAGACTTGGAACCAACCCAAATGCCCATCAATCATAGACTGGATAAAGAAAATGTGGCACAAATACACCATGGATTACTATGCAGCCATAAAAAGGATGAGTTCATGTTCTTTGCAGGGACATGGATGAAGATGGAAACCATCATTCTCATCTACGTTTAGGTTTTAAGAAATTGACATCTTTCTCCCCACTTTATGATGCAATCCGTGAAAGATAAATACCCTGTCAATTGACTCAATTTAACAAACTGTTTTTTTTTTTGTTTTTTTTTTGAGATGGAGTTTCGCTCTTGTTACCCAGACTGGAGTGCAATGGCGCAATCTCGGCTCACCACAACCTCCGCCTCCTGGGTTCAGGCAATTCTCCTGCCTCAGCATCCTGAGTAGCTGGGATTACAGGCACGCGCCACCATGCCCAGCTAATTTTTTGTATTTTTAGTAGAGACGGGGTTTCACCATGTTGACCAGGATGGTCTCGATCTCTTGACCTCGTGATCCACCCGCCTCGGCCTCCCAAAGTGCTGGGATTACAGGCTTGAGCCACCATGCCCGGCCTAACAAACTTTTAAAAGCACCTAATACATACAAGGTTTTGCTAAGCCTCAGAAATTTGTACAGATACCTGACACAGCATTGAGACATTCAACTTGCTTATTATAGTTAGGAAATGTACGCCATAAACTTTATTAGAGAACAGAAAATTGTGCTTTTCAGAAAAATAGATTGTATTACTGAACATTGATTGGGAGCATTAATATGCGTAGAAGTAGTGAGAAATGCTTTCATAAAGGCAGTGCTTTTTGAACTTGAGCCTTACAAATTTTGGCAGTTGTGAGGAACAAGTGTCTTTGTTTTTTTGAATTAAAGGCAAACTCAGAACTCAGTGCCAAGAAGGTACACCAGCAACAGGCAGATGCTCGCCTGAAAGAGGTATTGGTAGTGAAGGTGCTTACTTGTCAGCATGGTGGCTCTTGAGGCTAAAAACCTTTCTTAGGTCATAATATTTCATATTTCATAATATTTTAACAAATGAATAGAAAAAGTTAAGCAAGATATTGAAAATATTTAGTGAAGAACATAACCCAGGAAGGTGTTTCCAGAAGAAAATGATTAATTTCAATTATTTACACATTTAGCATGCATATCATTAGGTTATTTTTAAAATCGTTAACTCTTAATAAAAGCATATGTAACTTCTGTGTCTATGATATTTGTGTATCTTCCCTGGTAACCAAGGAACTAAAATATGTTTTCAAATGGAATACTCATAGGATTCTAACTCCTTGACTCTGCTGATGAGCATTGAGGTCACAGAGTTGTTAGAGGGGGGCCTCATTAGATACACGCTCTGACAGGCTCTTTGACAGGGAAGTTGGCGTAGGGTCTGTTTCTTTCGCTGGGTCGTAAAGTGTGATCTCTTCATTCTGAAAGCAAAGAAACACATTTTCAAGTATATTTTTTATTACAGCTCCTTCTAGAATACTATTTGTAGTGTTCTCCTAGTAAAGCGGCTATTCCTTGAAAGGTAACTCTAGGTTTTAGCTGATTTTATTGTTTTTATTAATAATTGACGATGCCTCTAAGAAAAAGGAAATCTCCAGAGAGGCCTGCATCTTCAAAATCCCCTGAAATCTCTAGGTCCCATGTAAACAGTATAAAGGATAGAACGTCATCAGTTGGTTTGCCTAGTGTTGTTCCAAACTCTACACGCCATGTGAGCTTTGCACCTAACCTGCCTTCTATGAAAACATCTCAGGATATTGGAGACTCTAAGATCTCTCTGAAGACTCTTTTGAATGCTATTAAAACCATGGAGGGAAGACTGGAAGGCAAAATAGAGATTCTTGCCTCAAGACCTTTAGTAAATGATGAATCTCCACATTTTTTTAAACGGGACTCGGTAAGTGAAGACCACAAATTAAATCTTAGGAAAAATTTAAATTTATACAAGAGTGAAGTATTAACAGTCCAGAAAGATAATACTTAAAGAAATGAGTAACGAGGAAATAAGGTTTTTAACAAACAGAAAAAAACTAATATAGATTGAATTCACTGTCCCAGCTGTCATATAATTAGTTTTAGATATAGAAAATTTGGTGTAACAGTAACTACTGAGTTCTTTTTATATAACTTTGATTTTTTTTTTAAATGGAAACTTTCTACCTAATCTTAACATTTGACCTAAAATGCTTGGATAAAGCCTCATTTTCAAGTAGAAATAACTTAATTCAAGAAACCCTAAGAAATTTAACTTTGGAAAATATTTTCTTGAGAAAACTTGTTAGAACATTTGTCTTTACCTGATATTTAGAAATAGAAAATACTGTAGCTTATCTTCTAAAGTGTGCTTCTGTTTCTGGAAGGAGGGCTGTGAGTGTGAGTTGTCCAGTCCTTGGTGTTTTGAACAAAGAATTAAAACGCACAAAGTAACAAAGAATGAAACAGGAGGGAAGCACCCAAAGCAGAGATTTATTCATAAAAGGGAGAAAGCACTCGGAAGGGTGGGAGTGGGCCTGCACTAGTGGCTCAAGGGCCTATTTACAAAGTTTTCTGGGGTTTAAGTACTCCTTTTGAGGCCCCTATTGGCTACCTCTTATCTGGATGAAGAATTTGGCCTGTGGCTAAAGGCTGAGGTGAATTGACCCCCTATGCTGATGAAGGGATGGCCATTACTGGCCCAAGGCCTATCCAAGGCACTCTCCTTTTCCATCTGAGATGTGTAGAAGGGGGAGGATTGTAGGGAGAATAGCCTTGATCCTTTGCTACTTGCTGGGGAGATGGAGTTTTTCCTTTTGGTTTAGCTTTTGGAAGTTGGTATTAGGTAGACTTAGATTCCCTGTCCCCAAACCCAGGTGTTTTCCTTTTGATCCAGTTTTGGGAAGTCAGCACAAGATGGCCTCAGATTCCCTGCCCCTAGACCTTGGTGTTTTCTCTTTTAGGAAGTCAGCCCAAATTGGCCTTAAATTCCTTGCCTCAGGACCCTATTCTCCTGCCTCACTGCTACTGTCTAGACTCCTGTAAATATCTAGTGGCACTTTTGCTTTTATAAGGGTGTGTGTGTGTGTGTGTGTGTGTGTGTGTGTGTGTGTATACGTATACATTACTGATACACACACACACACACACATACACACTTAAAAAAACTGTTAGAATTTTTAAAATGATATTGTGTTCTTATCTAGAACAAAATTCAGTAGATTATCAGGACCTGTAAGTTGCCATCCTTCGTAGTCTTCTGGGATCCTTTTCTGTAGAAAAAATTAAGTATTTTACATGTTACAGGTTCAAGTTTAAGGACTTTAATAATGTTGAGGTAGATGTGGGGAAAAGACATTCTTTGTTGGTATTGGGATTATAAAACAGTACAACTTCCTATGGAGGGCAATTTAGCAATATTTATCACAACTTTGACCCTACAATTGTCCTTCTAGGACTTTTTCCTACTGATGTACTGGCTTGTACACATGACATGTATACGAGGTTACTTACTGAAGTATTGTTGTTTAATAGCTGCGGAGAAAGCAACCAAAATCTCATCAGTAAGAGACTGGCTAAATGATAGTGTATCCATAGTTTCATAGTTGCAATACTGCTTCAAGATATGTATGTTATTAGGTTTAAACAATAAAAGTTCAGAAGAGTATATGTAATATTTTACTATTTGGATGTAAAAGGGATGGGGAGATAAAGAATACATATATATACATACACACATGTATAAGCATAGACTGTCTCTAAAATGACCCATAATAAACTGGCAACATTATTTTTGAGGAAGGAAACTGGGCAGCTGGGATGTTTTTCACTTAATCTTTTTGTACTTTAAGGAAAATGTGAATGTACTACCTATCCAAAATAGTTTTATGAACATTTTCTTTTCAACAAAACTGAGAGCAGAGAAGGGATAGTGTTTTCAACAAATGGTGCTGGGTAATTGGATATCCATATGCAAAAACAAAGTATCGTTGGTCCATACCTCACAAAATATATAAAAATTAAAATGGATCATAGATCTAAATGTAAATCCAGAAACTGTAAAACTTATAGAAGAAAACATAGGAAGAAATCTTTGTGATCTTGGGTTACATAAAGATTTCTTAGATTTCGTATCAAAAGCATGATCCGTAAAGGGACAAAAATGATAAATTGGACTTCGACAAGTTTGACACCTTATGCTCTTCAGAAACATTAAGGGAATGAAGAGACAAGCTACAGATTGGAAGGAATTGTTTGCAAATCACATATCTGATTAAGGCTTTGTTTCCAGAAAGTATTGAAAAAATATTTTTAAAATTTAAATAGAAGAAAACCTTTTAAAGAATAGGCAAAAATTCAAACATATTTTCTTCGGCAAAGATATGTGGCCGGTAAGTAAGTGCTTGAAAAGAGATTAAGCATCAGTCATTGGGGAAATGCAAATAAAATCACAGTGGGATACTACCATACACCTATTATTAGTACAACCATTTTAGAACTTATTTTGGGAATTTGTTTAAAAGTGAAACATACTACCACTGTATGACCCAGTCAGTGCACTACTAAGTATTTACCAAAGACAAATAAAAGTATGTCTCCACAAAGACTTGTACACAAGTGTTCACAGCAGTTCTATTTGTAATGACTTAAAACTGAAAAAATCTTAAGTGTCCACCAAGTGAATGGATAACAAAATCGTGATATCCCTACAATAGAATACTAAAGAACAGAGATTGAATGACTCTCAAAATAATTATACTGAGTGAAAGAAGTTATTCAAAGAAGAGTGCATACAATTCCATATTAAATTCTAGAAAATGCAAGCTAATCTATTGTGACAAAAAACAGATCAGTGATTACTTGTGAGAATCAGTACGAGTGTGGGAAGAAAAACAGAAGGGGAAGATTATAAAGGAGCATGAGGAAACTTTTGGAGATAATGGAAATGTTCGGTATCTTAATTATGGTTTCAAAGTCTTATACATATGTCAAAACTTATCAAAATTTATACTTTAAGTATATGTAGCTCATTATATGTCACTTATACCTCAGTAAAGCTGTTAAAAATCCGTATGTTACCTATTTAAAAGTGTATGAAATGTTTAACATTCTTTTTTTAAGACGTTTCACTCTGTCGCTAGGCTGGAGTACAGTGATGCGATCTTGGCTCACTGCAACTCCTGCCTCCTGGGTTCAAGTGATTCTTGTGCCTCAGCCTCCCTAGTGGCTGGGATTACACGTGCCTACCACCACATTTGGCTAAATTTTTTTTTTTTTTTTTTTTTTTTTTTGTATTTTTAGTAGAGATGAGTTTTCACCATGTTGGCCAGGTTGGTCTTGATCTCGTGACCTCATGTTCCGCTCACCTCTGCCTCCCAAAGTACTGGGATTTACAGGCATGAACCACGGTGCCCGGCCTAAAGTAACATTCTTGAAAGGACAGAACTATAGAAATAGAGAACTGTACATCAATGTAGTGTGGGAAAGAAAAGAGCACAAATTAGTGGTTGCCAGAGGACAGGATGAGTTTTTGGAGGGAAGTGTGAATACAGAGATAGCACAAGGGAATTCTTCTCTGGTGATGGAACAGTTCTGTGTCTTGACTGCGGTGGTGGTGGTCACATGAATATGTAAATAGGATCAAATTGCATAGAACTGTGTGCATGCACATGCACACACATATATACATGAATGAAGGTTGAAAAAATGGCAAAAGTGGAATAAATTATGTAATCTAGTTAATCAAGTTAACAATTTATGAATGTCAATTTCCTGGTTTTGATGTTGAACCACAGCAATGAGATGTCACCATTAGAAGTAGGATAAAGGGGCTGTGCACAATGGCTCATGCCTATAATCCCAGCACTTCAGGATGCCAAGTTGGGCGGATCACCTGAGGTCAGGAATTCAAGATCAGCCTGACCGACATGGTGAAACCCATCTCTACTAAAACTACAAAAATGAGCTGTATGCGATGGTGCACGCTGGTAATCCTAGCTAATTGGGAGGCTGAGGCAGGAGGACGGAGGTTGCAGTGAGCCCAGATCATGCCATTAGGCTCCAGCCTGGGTGACAGAGAAAAACTCCATCTTTAAAAAAAAAAAAGGCGAAGAAGCAGGATGAAGGGTACATCAGACTCTGTGCTATTTTTGCAACATCCTGTGAACCTAAAATTGTTTTGAAATAAAAAGTTTAAAAAGTCATATTTAAAATAGTATGATTATCTGAGCTGATGGTATGGATCTACTAAAACTGTTTCAAGGATATAAGATTCTACTGTACATTTAAAATTTGGATTCTAAATTGCTATGACTTATTCTAATTACTGATGTGTCATGTTTTGTACTGTTATTTATTGTTTCTTTTTTTTTTTCCTGCTTAGGTGAAATCTATTCTTGAAAGAAGTAAAGAGGAGCTGTCCCGAACAGTGAAGTGTCGTAACGCAGCCCTAAAAGAGAGTCAGAAGTTGAAAGAGGACCTGGAGGCTATGGAGGACAGGGAAAACAAGAAGGCAAGGAATCAGTCCCTTCTGACTGTCTGTCACTGAGAAGAAGCACTTTTGAAATCTTTCATGAGCCATATGTTTTGCTTTCTTGCTTCCATTAGTAAGAAAGAGTGAGGATTGATCGGGGAGGATTTCTTTTTTTAGAGAAAAGATAATTTTAGAATAGTTTAAAATTTTTCCCTTAAAATTACATCATATATATAACTCCCAATTTTTTTTTAACTTTCAGTCTTAAATACCAAAAGAGAAAGTTCTAATTTTTTCTGTTGAAACATGACCAATCTTGGTAATAGTAACCTTTATAGTTTTGTTGTATTATGTGATATAAGATTTCTGTGATGCTTTCTCTTTAACAGTGTGTGTGCTTAGTGGGAATAGAGTTCACATCCCAAACTTCTCTTTGCCAGCAAGTGCTAGATTTTGCCTCTCTGAGGAGGGCTCTGAGTTACCTCATTGTTCAGCAGCTTCCACTTTCTCTTATAGTCTTTTTTTCTCAGATAATTCTGATGCATTTCAGATGTACTATTTCCATCTGACCCCATCAGAAGACTTCTAAGAGGCTAGCCTGGCATCACCTTGGATGGAGGTTGTGCTGAGTCCGGCCTCTCTGGTTAATGTGTTTGCTGTAACATGGCCATAGTTGGGAAGCTGCAGAGTTCACCATTAAGATCTGGGGTCAGCTTTTCTTTTTCTCAACAGTAACTTAAGAAACCACCTAAAAATAAAATATACTTTAATTTTTCCCCCTAACGTCCTACTGTGTCTGCTTGCCTGCTTTCCATAGTCTTTCCAAGGAGTAATGGGATCCACAAGCAGAAGAGTAACCAGAAAGGATCAAATGTCTTTGTGTTGTTTCATTTTCTGTTAGGTGGGAAACTTTCAGCGACAATTGGCAGAGGCTAAAGAAGACAACTGCAAAGTCACAATCATGTTGGAGAATGTCCTGGCTTCTCATAGTAAGATGCAAGGTGCTCTGGAGAAAGTACAAATAGAGCTTGGGCGGAGGGATTCAGAGATTGCAGGCCTCAAGAAAGAAAGGTACCTGTGGTTTTTTTCCCTATCATTGGTATTGCTGCATCGCATTAAGGAGCAGTGTGAAGTTAATAAATGAAATCACTTTATGTAGCTTCCTTTGCAAAAATCTAGTAAAATGTTATGTTTAGAGAACTACCAAATTAGAGAAAATCTAGAATTAGAAATACTATTTCCAAAAATTCAGAATGCCCCTATAATGCAGTAATGTGAAGGAATTTCTAGACTATATAGCCTAGAAATTCATTAGCTGTACTGTTGTTTTACCCTTGCTTTCTGCACCATGTAAACCTAATTTGTCCTTGCTTCTAGAGTAGTAATTGTCAAGATAATTGAAACTAAGTACATACTTTAGTTTGAATTAATTATCCATTTATTACTATCCTGTTTCAAGATTAATAGTTATTTTAGGTGAATCATTCTGTGAACCACTTCTAGCCATGTTTTCTAAGTAAATTTCTTCATAGAATGTTTCAAAAATTAAATTTCTTTTTAGGTTAAAGAATAAATGGTCTGAGATTAATAGGGCATATTGCCTCTATGTTATGAGAGAACAAGTGAGTTTTATTTTTTTCATTGTGTTTATCTTTTTTTACATAGTATGAAAGTATATTAACTTTGAATTTTTAAAAAGTCAGGGGAATAGTATTAAAAATATTTACTATTCACAATACATTTATAAGTGGCTGTTATATATAGATGCAGAAATCTCAACAGCAAGCCAGTCTTTGTAAAGGTGATATATTTTTTGCTAGTGATATGTATCACTAGTAAAATAGTAAATTATGTACTATAGTGACATATGTCACTAGTAAAATAAATATATAGCATAAAATCACCAGCTCATAAGTTTGTCAGAAACATGTATTGATAGCCTGATATATGAAGACAAATTGAATTATAAATGAGACAAGTTATTTAATTCCTAGAAGCCTTAGTTTTTTCTTTTTCTTTTTCTTTTCTTTTTTTTTTTTTTTTTTTTTTTTTTTTTTTTTTTTTACGGCTAGTCAAGAAGAAGTGGGAGTGGAGAAGGAACAAAGAAATCTGTAACTGTGATCAGTTAGTTGTAAACACCACTGCACCCGGACCAGCCGAGCCTTAGTTTCTTAACCTAAAGCTGAGGGTACTAATTGTCATCTATGAACTCTCAGATATTTTGAGCTTCTATTTCAGCTTCTTAGAAGAACTCCCAAGTGGTATCATTCCTACATGATTCTTTTCTGTAGTCACTCTTTCTGTGTTTTCTGTTTTTAGGGATCTCAATCATCAGAGGGTGCAGAAGCTGGAAGCTGAAGTGGACCAGTGGCAGGCCAGGATGCTTGTCATGGAGGACCAGCACAACAGTGAGGTCAGGGCCAGGCTTTAAAAAATGATAACATTGATACTTTTGGTTTTATTGGGATATTACAGTTTTTGAGAAAATGCTTTTTTTCAGTCAAGTATGAATTTTGGACAATGACATACCTACAGATGGGAAATTGACCTGTCTTACAATGAGTCACTTATTGGCAAACTAGTACCACAATAATGACTAATCTCTTTGTCTTAGATGGTCTGCATTTTTATTAATTCACAGATGACTTCAGAAGTTCATAGGCTTAGAAAATAACTTATAATCTGTCAGAAGCAGCTAGAGTGATCCCACTATTAATAAGGAGTCACCTACACACACATGCTCATGGGCATGTGTACATACCTGTATATGTATCTGTATGCACATATAAAATACGCATGGATATTAAGGTTTTTTTCTGTAGGAATCTGTAAGGAACAGTTGACAGGTCTTTTTTTTTTCCTCTAGGGAGTGAGACCAGAAGGTCATAGGATCAGGAAGGGGAATTTAGTTTAAAATTTTAAAAATTAGGATAAATTAAGATGGATCTCTTTACCAAAGCTCTCTGTTGACTAATGGAGCATACATTTCCCGTTGGCTTCTAAGTGTTTCCTAAGCAATGTCTGTAATAAGTTCTCACATACATGTTCCAGGCACCTGGAATCTTTGCTTCTGGTTCCATCTAATTGTTTCAGTAGCACTTGATGTTAGAATGTGAGGAGTGATTACACAGTGTTAGGAACTTCTTGCATCTCTTTGTTACAGTGGAATTGAAAACATTCTTCTCTCTTTCAGATTGAATCTCTACAAAAAGCTCTAGATGTAGCTAGAGAGGACAACAGGAAACTGGCTATGAGTCTGGAACAAGCTCTCCAGACAAATAATCATCTGCAAACAAAGCTAGATCATATGCAAGAGCAATTAGAAAGCAAAGAACTTGAGCGACAGAATTTGGAAACCTTCAAGTAAGAGCAGTATAGTCACAGTAAAATTAGGGAAGTGCCTCTGGAGGAGTAAGTCACATTCACATAAATGGCTCATTCACATAAATCAGTCAAACCCTTTTCTCCTACTTTGAACTAGTACTCCCAGCAGAGCCATGCCAAGGACCAGGCATAGGTGAGCACCAGCAGATAATAGCTGGCTAGAGCATGCTCATTTGACTTTCTTCTCAGCTTTTCCTTCATCCACTATCAAGCTGCTGTTTTACATGAAGGTTAAACCAAAACTTAAAGAATATTGATTAGAAGAGACATTCACATGTTTCTACCAAGGCTTTTCTATTAACAGCTTATATGTTGTTTAAAAGCATGATTTAGACAAGATAAAAACATCAGCCTGGGTGCAATGACTCAATCTAAGCAGAAGTTAAGCCATTAAATGTTTTCAGTTTTGACCCGAGATTAGTTAGATGAGACCTATCCAGTTCAGATCAAATGACTGAAGTTTTACCCTAGATTATACAGAGGTAGATATTATTTACATATTATTAGCATTGCGTGAAAATTTATACTTAATGGAAATACAGTGTGCACATAGATCTTTATTCCTTTACGTAATTTTATTTATGTATTTACTTGAGACGGGGTCTCACTCTGTTGCCCAGGCTGGAGTGCAGTGGTGTGATCATGGCTCACTGCAGCTTCTACCTCCTGGGCTCAAGTAGTTCTCCCACCTGAGCCTCCTCAGTAGCTAGAACTATAGGCATGTACCACCACACCTGGCTAATTTTTTTGTATTTTTTTTTAGAGATAGGGTTTCTCCATGTTGCCCAGGCTGTCTCAAACCCTTGGGCTCAAAATCTACCTGCCTTGGCCTCCCAAAATGCTGGGATTACAGGCATGAGCTGCTGTTCCTGGCGTAGATATTTATTCTTTTCATTTAGTGAGCATGTTGATAGAGGAAAGAGGTATAAGCTGAAACAAAGACAGGATTTTCCAGATACATGATCTCTGCAAATTTTATATTCAGCTGAAATGTTACTGCCTTATGATTGTGCCTTATTGTGTTTATGTAATGGTTGGCAGCATCATTTAAAACTCTTCAGTGTCAGTTTAGGTAATTATGATTTAGATGGTTAGTAATTGTTTCAAAAGCCTGAAAATTATTTAGGTAACTATAAAATGTAATTCCTACTACTACTGCTTATAACAAACAAAACCAAAAAGAAAAAAAAAATGGTTAGGAATTCACAGTAAAAGCATGAGTTGAGAGTTAGAGTCTCCTTGCAGCATTTGCTTCAGAATTTACCTTTATGTCACTACTTATGATAATAGTTTGTATTTTCATCATAGGTAAATCATGCTGCTTGAGATCTGTGAACCTCCTAAAATCATATGCAGAACTGTGCTTATCAGTGCACAAGCTTAGGAAGACAGAGCAGGTTTTGGAGAACTTGTTGAGTTTCAGGTGATTATTTAATAGATTTAGAAATGTAGGCTTAGTTCTAAGAGGCTGCTAGTTGGAATTCATCTCTATAAAGATAAAAGCTAAAGTCCAGGCATGACGGGTCACGCCTGTAATCTCAGCACTTTGGGAGGCTGAGGTGAGCGGATCACAAGGCCAGGAGATCGAGAACATCCTGGCCAACATGGCGAAACCCCCAACCTGGCACCAGAGCAAGACTCCATCTCAAAAAAAAAAAAGAGATAAAAGATAAAGCCTTGGAATGGGTTAGACTGCCACGGGCAAAGTATAGAGAGAGAACCAAGGCCAGAACTTGGAGTTGTGCTGCATTTCAGGTAGAAGGGGAACAGAGGCCACAGAAGGATCCAGAAAAGGAGCGTTTAGTGGAGATAAGGAAGGAATTGGGAGAATATAATATCACCAAAGGCAAACAAAAAGTGAGTCAGATGCTGCAGAGTCAGAGACCACAGAGGAAGCCACTGGGTTTTGCAACAGATATCTACCGCTCATCCTCCAGATGGCCAGTTTCTGTAGATGTTGAAGATAACAAAGATTAAGTAATAGATGAGGGAAGGCAGTCAGGGAGGACAATGGTGAAGATAAAGAAGATTGTATAGCAGCTCAAGAGCATAACATAAAGAAAAGTTATTCTGCTGCTGTCCTGTTTTTAGAATGAGAGGAACTGGACCATTATTAAAGAGTATGGGAAAGAACTCAATTGAACTGGAGAACAAGAGAGAGGATAAGCAGAAGGGTTATCTTCAGAGATGAGGTTGGATATTTCTTCCTTTGGGTTTAGAGGGAAGCAGAAGCTGGGTGAGTCTTCAGAAGACTGTTGAGGCTGATTGGTAGAGGGCTGCGATTTTCCTTCGAAGAAAAAAGAGCAAGGTGAATACATTCTAGAGATCTGCTGTGTAACACAGGGCTAAGCTATAGTGAACAACACTATTTGTTTGCTTAAAACTTGTTAAGAGGGTAGATCTCAGGTTAAATGTTCTTACCACAGTAAAAAGAAGAAGAACGTAAGAGTTGAAGTGCTGTGTAGGGGCTTAGGGCAGAGCTAGAGACTTGAGAGAAATTTTTAAATTAAAAATTCAAGTTAATAAAAAATTTAACTTTAGAGCTAGATGATGATGATGATAATACCTAATATTTGTTACATGATCATGATATGTCGGGTAATATGCTAAGGACTTCACACGCATTATTTCCTTTGGTACAAACGATTACCCTGTGATGGTGGTTAGTGTAGTTATTCCCATTTTGAAGATAAGGAAACAAGCAGGGGAAGTAGGTGTACCATACTCAAGGCCAGACATCATCTTACTAGAGCTGGGATTAGGATCCAGGCAGCAGCAGGCTGACTGCAAAACTTAGAGTCATAATCATTTTGATATAATAAGCACAATAAATTTAAAGGCAATTTAGAAAGTTATAAGAAAATCAAAATACAGTACTGTACAAATGATGGTTTTGTTCTCTTTCTATAGCTCTATGAATTTTTTGCTCATTTTCCAGATTGACATGGGCACGGGGAGGAGTGTGGGAATGTAAGAAAGAACCATCATTATCCCTAGTGCCTTCAGGATCTTCCATCCCTTTATGCTGTGCCTTGAGGACAGGCTTCAGCAACTTTATAGATGTTATGTACCAAAGTTTATTGATACATTCCTGCCTGGGGGATTGGAGGGACAGTTGCAGTTATTACCTGCAAGTCTGCAAGAACAAGCCCACTGAATGCTGCCAAGTGGACAGACTGAATCCTTTAGTAGATGTGCTTTTAGAGACACATGGAGAAGATGTATATATTATCCAAATAAGGGCAAGAGATGATCAGGAGAGAGAGGGAAAATGAAGATGATTTCTTGTCAGGGCAGGCTCCTCTTACCCTTTGAGAAATCAGTAACTCAAGAGTAATCATAGAGTAAGTCATTATCAGCTAGATCAGAGAATGTTAAAGCTGGAAGAAGCCTAGTAATTGTTTAAGTACATTTAGTCCTTTTTGGAGTCATTTATCCTTTTAAAAGTCAGAAGCTATGGACTAAGCTATACCCCCTCACACACGCATACACATTTTGCATATTATTTCAGGGAATTCCCACATTCTCAGAAGATTAATTATGGGTCTTGAACAAGGAGTTCAAGTTAGGAATGCTGATCTAATTTAAAGCTCTCAGTTTAAAGATAAGGAACAATATTATTAGAAGTTAATATTTAAATGGTAAATAGCTGCCAGCAAAAAGATATCATCTTACTAGAGCTGATTATAATACAGGCGGCAGCAGCAGGCTGACTCCAAAACCCATAGTCTTAATCGCTTTACTATAATAAACAGAATAAATTTAAAGGCAATTTAGAAAGTTATTAAGAAAATCAAAACACATTGCTGTGCAAATAATGGTTTTGTTTGAAAAGACAAAGGCAAGAGAAAAGACAAAAACAAATATCTCAAAGTATTTCTGCTTCTAATATTTTTCTTTGATGTGAGTTTTTTACTCGTTTGATTGGATCTCTTTATGTAGAATTAATGTTTTTTAATATTACAGGTAAATTCACTTCTTTTTTTCTTCTGTTAATGAGCTCCAAATTAGTGAGGTTCACCAGGCTACTGATAGACTGCTTGTTTATAAATCACACACCTTTTAGAGTTGGACACTCCCCTCCAAAACTTTCTTACCTCTTAAAGTGATTTCTAAAGGTGACTTCTTACTTCTTTTCTTCAAAACAGAGAACGGATGACTGAAGAGTCCAAAGTGGAAGCAGAATTGCATGCTGAACACTTAGAAGCTCTAAGAAAGCAGTTTCAAACCGAGAGAGAAACTGCAAAGAAAGTGGCACAACGGGAAGTGGCTGAGGTATAGAGTCATGAGAAAAGTTTCTCTCTTGGTGAATGCCTCTTAGGAGGATAAGCAGCTCCAACATTTCAGAGAATGGCTGCAGTTGTTCTTTGACTCTTCTCATCCCCTTTTGACCAGCAAGCCAGTTGCAATTGAGACCTCTCTGTAAAGCAACATACAAGAAAAAAATTTCTTACAGATAATTCTCTGCCCAACAAAGGAGTACCTTGATGGGAGATTTTCCATCAGAGTGATAACCAAGAGGGATAGAGGAATAAGGAGACTGCCATGTGATAGACAGAAATGAAATCATCTCGCTTCTCAGTTCACTTAACTGACATCTATTCTGCATCTACCATTTCCTGAGAGAGACAGGGAAAACAGTAGAAGATATAGTCCATGCCCTTGTGTGTGCCAAATGACCCTTGTTTGTGATCTCCACTCTGGACATGAGACAAATAGGGAAAACATCAGAGAACTTTCTTGGGTAGCTAGAGGCTGTGTGCAATTTTGAAGGAATTCAAAGTAAGAGAAAGTTTATTTTAGGCCATTTGGTTGATAGAAGAAGGAAAGCTTAATGAGAGTACAGGATTGAGACTAGCAGAGATGACAGGGCTGGACACCTTACAAAACAGCACAGGCCAAGCCTACTTACAAAAATGAACAGGACATGTTAGCAGATGAAAAGTAGCCTTTCTTGATGAGAGCAGAGACTTTGGAAAAATGTTAGAGAAGGAGTGTTAACTTACATGGAACCACCTGATGGATGGCCTTAGTTATGGAAATGTTGGATGTGAACTCTTAAGCAGAGAGCGAGTACTACTTAAGAGTGAGCAGGAGGTGGCAAGATAGAAGCATGAGTTTAGGAAGGTTAATGTAACAGCAGAAGACAGTAGAGAAGAATAAAGAGAAACTGGAGGTATGGAGGCTCAAGAAAACGATAACAGTTAATTTGAATATTAGATGATTAGGGCCAAGCAAAGTAGTTCAGTTGAAAAATAGAGAAAAGCCAATAGGAAAATCAAACAGGCCGGGCAAGGCAACTCACCCCTGTAATCCCAGCACTTTGGGAGGCCAAGGCAGGTGGATCACCTGAGGTCAGAAGTTTGAGACAAGCCTGGCCAACATGGTGAAACTCCATCTCTACTAAAAATACAAAATATTAGCCAGGCACGGTGGTAGGTGGCTGTAATTCCAGCTACTCAGAGGAGGCTGAGGCATGAGAATCACTTGAACCCGGGAGAAGGAGGTTGCAGGGAGCTGAGATCGCACCACTGCACTCCAGCTCGGGCAACAAGAGTGAGACTCATCTCAAAAAAAGAAAAATCATCAAACAGACATTAAATGTTACATCATGGAGACGGAGGTATTAAAGTAATTCCTTGGTTGGCATGGATGGTCTGTGTTTCACCAAATTTGTTACATTTAGTAGTTGCAATTGATGGAAACTATTCACAAAATCAAACTCAAATAATGGTATGTAAAACAATTTCGTGAATTGCAAAGCACTATATAAATATAAATGTTATAAAAAGCAAATTCTGCTTTTTATACAAGAATTAGGGAACATAAAGATGTACTAACTGTAGAAATGTACCTTTAGTTGAGAATAATTACAAAACTGAAATCCTTTGAAGAAGGATCAGTGACAGTGAAGAACAGTGAAAGTGTGACAGCAGTGAGAAGTCGGCAGCACCAGTAGGCTCACGGAGTGCTGCCTGAGTCCCAGCTCTCCGTCTTACTGTGTATTAATTTATTGTCTGAATAAGTGACTTAATTTCTGAGTTTGTTTCCTCAATCATAACATGTAAACCATCACAACTACTTTCCAAGTTTGTTTTGAGAATTAAATGGGAAAGCATTTGTAAAGTAATTATCACAGTGCCTGAACTTAATCAGTACAAAGTAAATGATATTTGTTAGGGCTTATCCAGTTTTAGAAAGGCCGTGATTGAGGTAACAGTGGACTGTCTAACAGAAAGTTAGTTGGGTAGTAATAAAAGAGTGTAGTGTAAAGTTAGGATCTAAAAGAAGGAACTAGTATGGAGAGAAAAGGTACAGACACCCTTGACTTCACTCTGCTGTTTTAAATGCTGCCAGCATAGAGAATACCACCTTCCCATTTTCTCCCTTCTCAACTACCTCTTGCTCCTAAAGTTTTCAAGTGGCACTGCTCTAATGGCATATTAGAAGGACGGAACTCTGTAAAATTAAGTAACTGTGCAGTTTTTTTCACGAGAGAAATTAAAATTCTTAAGAACAAAAAACAAGATTAGAAAAATGTGTGCCATGACGGTCAATAGCTGACAGATATTTATAGAAACTGCCATATAATTCATTTTCATTTCTTCAGACTGAGGTTACAAATGACAGAGAAAAGCTTATAGCATGATAATCAGAGTAATTATTGTGTGCCAGACTCTACTTCTTTCTCTTTATGATCTTATTTGTTATTTGTATCCTATGAGTTAGGCTATACACACACTGTTCAGATGATGAACCTGAGGCTTAAGATAGTTAATTGCCTCAAAACACTGAGCTAGTAAGTGGTGAAGCTGATATTTGGACTGAAATCTGACTCCAAAGCCAGGCTCTTAAAATGCAAATACTGAATATACATTTACATTCTTTATCTATTCCAAGAAAGATTTTGTTCTTTGGTGATAAAAATTGTGAAAACCACATGGTCTGTTGCTCCATAAATCTGCTTAATCAGACATTATTGCCTTACTAATGCTCCTTTTAAAAAGAAAGATCCAAAGACAACAAAATATGAGGACAAAACTAAGTAAGCCTCTCTTAATGGAAAGTAAAAATGTTTCAATTTTTTCCTTTGTGTTTTAAGCTGAAGAAGGCCCTTGATGAAGCTAACTTCAGATCAGTGGAAGTGTCCCGGACCAACCGAGAGCTGCGACAGAAACTTGCAGAACTAGAAAAAATGCTAGAAAGTAACAAGGAGAAAATAAAGAATCAGAAGGCCCAAATTAAGCTCCACTTGTCAGCTAAGGCGAATAATGCTCAGAATATAGAAAGGATGAAGGTTATACGAGAAACCTCTTCTCACTTCCTGGGTACCCTATGAGGATGTGGGCAGTCAGTGGTGTCTGGGGAAAACAGGTTTTAGAACCCTACCTGCCCCATGTATTCTCCGGGCCAGCCAGTTGCCTTTGGGGAGACTCTTTTTCAGTGGAGACAGTGTAAATGTTTGATTTCTCATTTGCTGCCAGTGTCACATTCTGGCTCCCCATCTGTCCCTTCCGTGTTGATTGTATTGGACTTCACCCTTTCAGGATCAGTGGGCCAGATGGGAAAGAAAGCTCAGCAGGAACTGGTAACTTTGGATCTCATATTGGATCCTGTCTGTCATCCCATAGGCAAAAAGAGCAAGCCATTTTTTCCACTGATCACATTTTTATGTTATTTTCCGTTTACTTTTAGCAAATAGAAACAGAATTGAAGCAAATGGAGCTAATTAAGGATCAATATCAGAAAAAAAACTTTGAACAGGTAGATGATTTTCATATACTCTGTTTACCTGTGATGCAAAATCAAACTTGGAGGGTGTTCACCAAATGTCTCCATCTTTGTGTGCTTCCAGTCTTTGAGTATCCAGAGATTCGTGTGTGAAATGACTAACCTGCAGAAAGAGATGCAGATGTTGGCCAAGAGCCAATATGATGCCTCAGTACGGAATAAACAACAAGAGCAGCACCTAGAAGCAGAGCGGAAAATAAGGCAGGAGCTAGAGAATCGGTGCCAGGTAAAAGGTTTCCCAAGATTTATCTTAAGGATGATCAGCAAATGGCATGTGCCAAAGCCCAGCGGTATTGGACCTAGACTTTCCAGAGTCTACAGAAGACAACACACATTTACAAATTGTTTATCTTAGCTAAGTCCTTAGGATAATAGTATGGAGGAAGAAGGCTGTAGTTTGAATGTGGCAAATGTTCTCCATTTTCAGTAATAAAAGTAATGTCAATTTTAAAGAACACCTAGAGCTTACATATGCAAAGTATCAGTTACCTAAGTAAGACTTTTTACTCCGAATTTCATGGCCTTTCAGGAGCTTTATACACCTCATTTCTTCTCCTAGCACAGATACACCTTTTGCTGTTAACAGGACTCTTAGGTATTCCTAAATGAATAAAAACCGTAACATATCACTGAAAAGGGACCTCAAGAGATCTCTGAGCTCTTGCCTTTCAATAGGATTTGTCATGAGAAGTATCTTCCCGGTTCTGAAAAGAGATTAAATGCTTTCCTCATAACTGAAAAATCAAAATGTGTAATCATATCCACATATGTAGACTATAGGCTAAACTGAAAATCAGTTTTCATCTCATATGTTGGCAGCACCTGAAATTAGAAGGCACTCCATCCTACTTTCATCTTTGGTTGCCCCTTTATTATAATAGTGAAGCATTTGGTTCCTGATGGCACATTGGAAGTTTATAAAAATCTTTGTATCACATTTTCAGAAATTAGAAGAAACTGTCAGACACCTGAAGAAATGTAAAGAGGCAACAGAGAATAAACTGAAAGAAGCCAGTGTGGAATCAGAACAGGTGAGCCAGACCCAGACAAGCCAGACTTAGACAAGTTTTCTTCAACACAGCAACCCTGAAACAACCCAAGTCAATGTGAAATCCTTCATTAACATAGTTGTCAGGAATGCAATAGGCAAGAACCAGTAACTTCCTAAGTGTAGCCTCTATTGTAAAGAGTGATTAAGATTAGGAGTCTGTGTCTTGATGATAGATGGTAGATAACAATGCTAAAATATTAAACCTGAAGTCCGAGTCTCCCTACTAAATATAAGGGAAGTCCAGCATGTGTGTGGATTTTAATGCATTATTATTTGGCATGACCCTACTGAAAGGAGATGCTCTTTGTTCAATCAATCAATAACTAAAAAAGTAAAGTAGTCCCTAGTTAAACTAATTTGTGTATTTTTTTTCTGTATTCTAAACTTAAATTGGCCTTTTATGGAGTATTTCAAAATCATCCTTTTTTTTTTTGAGACAAGGTCTCTCTCTATCACCAGGCTGGAGTGCATGGTGTACCACCCTGCCCAGCTAATTTTTTTATATTTTTTTGTAGAGATGAAGTTTCACCAAGTGGCCAAGCTGGTCTTGAACTCCTGGACTCAGGTGATCCACCAGCCTTGGCCTCCCAAAGTGCTATGATTCCAGGTATGAACCACCACACCTGGCCCATGAACTACTACATTCTTAAGAGTCTTTCATATATTTTTTCATTTTCAAAGACATCTTGTACTTTCATTCTTAATTTTCTCCTGGGTCCTCTCTTATATTACTTCACATCCAGGAAACATTAACAGATACATGAAAAGCAGCAAGTCTGCAATGCATTCTTTTTATTTTTTATTTTTTATTTTACTTTAGGTGTATACTATATCCAGCATTTCTCCCCTTGTTATCCCTCCCCACCCCCCCTGCTGTCCCTCCCCTACTCCCTCTACTGCCCCCAGTGTGTGATGCTCCTCTCCCTGAGTCCATGTGTTCTCATTGTTCAACACCCATCTATGAGTGAGAACATGTGGTGGTTGGTTTTCTGTTCTTGTGTCAGTTTGCTGAGAATGATGACTTCCAGATTCATCCAAGTCCCTACAAAGGACACGAACTCATCGTTTTTTATGGCTGTGTTGTATTCCATGGTGTATATGTATCACATTTTCTTTGTCCAGTCTATTATTGATGGGCATTTGGGTTGGTTCCAGGTCTTTTCTATCGTACACAGGGCTGCAATGAACATACGTGTGCATGTATCTTTACAGTAAAATGATTTATGGTTCTTTGGGTATATACCCAGTAATGGGATTGCTGGGTCAAATGGAATTTCTATTTTTAGATCCTTGAGAAATCGCCACACTGTCTTCCACAATGGTTGAACAAATTTACACTCCACCAACTGTGTAGGAGTGCTCCTTTTTCTCCATGTCCTCTCCAGCATCTGTCGTCTCCAGATTTTTTAATGATTGCTGTTCTAACTGGTGTGGAATGGTATCTCACTGTGGTTTTGATTTGCATTTCTCTAATGACCAGTGATGATGAGCATTTTCTCCTATGTTTGTTGGCCTCATATATGTCTTCTTTTGAAAAGTGTCTGTTCATATCCTTTGCCCACTTTTGAATGGGGTTGTTTTTTTCTTGTATGTCTATTTTAGTTCTTTATAGATTCTGAATATTAGCCCTTTGTCAGATGGGTAGATTACATTGCAAAAATTTTTTCCCCTTCTGTTGGTTGCCAGTTCGTCTAATGATGGTTTCTTTTGCTGCACAGAGCTCTGAATTTTAATTAGATCCCATTTGTCTATCTTGGCTTTTGTTGCCATTGCTTTTGGTGTTTTAGTCATGAAGTCCTTGCCTATGTCTATGTCCTGGATGGTTTTGTCTACGTTTTCTTTTAGTGTTTTTATGGTGTTATGTTTTATGTTTAAATCTTTAATCCATCTGGAGTTAATTTTAGTGTAAGGTGACAGGAAGGGGTCCAGTTTCTGCTTACTGCACATTGCTAGCCAGTTTTCCCAACACCGTCAATGTATTCTTTAACCACTCACTCAGAAATTACTCTCACGTATAGGTTGTTAAGTATGTTGTGCAAATAGGTAGCAAAGAACATGCAGTCAGAATTTGTGTCTTTTAATTTCTAAGTAAAAAGTCTGCAACTAATATACAAAAAAACTTGTAACTTTCTTTGCGTCTTTCAATGGTGACATTTATATGTTCAGATAACAGCTAACCTGGAAGAAGCTCATCGCTGGTTTAAGCACAGGTTTGATGGTCTACAACTTGAGCTGACAAAAAACCGGTTGCAGAGGCCTTCTGGGGAAGACAGGTGTCAGAAAGAGGTAAGATTAAGACATGGATGTCTTAAACAATTTTCTACTTGTTGCTTCTCAGATTTCTAATTACTGAAGTTCTGCTATCATCTCACTATTCTTTCCATTCATCTTCTGTTTCTTTATACTAATGCTAGGAAACCAGTTTTTTTTCTTACAAAGTTCCACCTGTCACAGACTTTTTAGATTAAAATCACCTGTTTTCATGAATAAATGACATATATAGACTCAAAAGAGGTACAGATTGCTGCAGTTAACTTTGAACAGTCAGTGTTAGGTGTATTTTCTTTCCAACAGGACCAAGATGTAAGACATGATGTCATGTCCAGCCAATGTGTTCTGCGTCGATGGGAGAAAAAACAGAATCTTAGGCCCCTGCCTAAGAAGTATCATTCTGAGGTACAAAGGAAGTGATATCCCTGACAAGGACACTTCTTTATGTATAGCTCCACTCCATAATTCCACGAGCCCAGCAGCCAGGGCTGTTCTGTTCCTACAGTCATAAGAACGTGAAATCTTTGATGTGGGCTGAAGATTTCAGACCTGAATTTATAATTTTATGAACTCTTATATTAGTACAAACTTCCGTTTTTTTTTTTTGTCCCTTTTCACATTTTCCACCCAATAAATTTATGTTAATTTGTTGAAAAGTTAGGAGATGGTGTTGCATGATTCTTATCTGTTTTTCTAATAAGTATGTTTTATGAAAAAGTATTTAGCAAGGTTCTAAATGATATTGCTACTAAATGATATGATACTTTGTTTCAATGATGTGTCCTACTCCAACATGTAGTAGATAATTCCTGGAAATAGAATTGTTTGAAAAATGGTAGACTCCTTACTGTTTTGTAGACTTACTTCTGAGTTGGGTAATTACCAACATATCTTTTTTCTTTTTTCTTTTTTTTTTTTTTTTTTTTTTTTTGAGGTGAAGTCTTGCTCTTTTGCCAAGCTGGAGTGCAGTGGCACGATCTTGGCTCACTGCAACCTCCACCTCCCAAGTTCAAGCGATTCTCCTGCCTCAGCCTTCTGAGTAGCTGGGACTGCAGGCATGTGTCACCACACCCAGCTAATTTTTGTATTTTTAGTAAAGATCGGTTTTTACCATGTTGGCCAGTATGGTCTTGATCTCCTGACCTTGTGATCTGCCTGCCTCGGCCTCCCAAAGTGTTGGGATTACAAGCATGGGCCACCATGCCTGGCCCAGCATATCTTTTAAAAGGCTAATATCTCTTTTCTCAAATAAGGCATTTCAGAGATTATGTTTACAGCTTGCTTGGTCATTAAAAAAGTTATAGAATGCAGCAGTCTGTTCTGCTCAGGGAGACTATGCCTGACTTACATAGCTCTTCCTTACTGTAATTAAACAATAAGTTCAGCTTTGTCTTTTTATTTCAGATGTTGAGTGGTGGATTAGGTAATCCAGATTTAACATATGTAAATGGATGGCGTAATATCTGGCTTAATTAATGCTCAAGTAATCATAGCTGCTGATGATATTATCAGGACCTAAATCAAGTAAGCAATCATGAAACTGGAAATAATATCAAATATAAGACTGTCAAAGGTTGATGAGCCTACCACTCAGCATCTGATATAAAAGACAAAGCTGAATTTATTGCTTACTATATAGTAAGGGAGAACCTGTTGTTCAGGCACAGTCCTTGAGCAGAGCAGACTGTTAATCTCATATAGGTTTTTTTGGAAATAATGAAATTCATATCAAAATCTGTAGAGTGTGGTTACTAGAGTGAGACTATTCATTGATCACATTCAGGAACATGTAAATTGGAGTGGGTCCATTTCTGTTTGACCTTAGGAATAAAGGACTCTAACTGGTTTTCAGGTTTGTAAAAGCATGTACAAAAAGGCAGGTTGGTTGGGTGCAGTGGCTCACACCTGTAATCCCAGCACTTTGGGAAGGATTGTAGAGTAGCTCTGTAGAAGCAAGAGGCCAAGGCAGGCAAATCACTTGAGGCCAGGAGTTCGAGACCAGCCTAGCCAACATGGTGAAATCCTGTCTCTACTAAAAATAAAAAAATTAGCCAGATGTGGTGGTGCACACCTGTTGTACCAGCTACTTGAGAGGCTGAGGCACAAGAATCACTTGAACCCAGGAGCTGGAGGTTATAATGAGCCAAGATCATGCCAGTGCACTCCAGCCTGGGCAACAAAGCTAAGTTCTGTCTCAAAAAGGGAAAAAAGGCAAGTTGGCATTGATCTAGTGGACAAGGTAAAAACTGGTAATTAAAACTAGCTGCTTGTTCTCATGGCTGCTAAATAGTCTGTTTTTGGGAGGATATAAATGTTTTATTCTTTGTGCCCCTTTGGTGCTCATAACATCGTATCTTAGTTCAGTGGCTCTGTAGAAGCATTTGAGACTGAACAACAGACATCAGACAACCATTTTGTTAACCAAGGTACATATGAAGTGTTAGCACTGGTGCATATACCTCTCTGGTTGGAAAAAGAAAATAATTCATGGCTTATTTTATTACCTGTAACTACTTTGGTTCTATGGTTTGAATGTGTACCCTCCAAAATTCATGTTGAAACTTAATTCTTACTGTGGTGGTATTAAGTGGGGGGCCTTCAGGGTCTCTGGGGAAGTGTTATTAAGTGGGAGGCATTTGGGGCTCTGCCCTCAGGAATGCAGTAGTGCCTCATTAAAGGGCTGGAGGGAACTAGCTTAGGCCATTTTGCCTTTCTGCCTTCTACCATGTGAGGACACAGCATTCAGCCCCTTTGGAGAACACAGCAACAAGGTGCTACCTTAGAAACAGGGGACAAAGACCTCACTAGACATCAAATCTGCAAACACCTTGATCTTGGACTTCCCAGCGTCCCAAATTGCAAGAAATAAATGTCTGTTTTTTATAAATTACTCAGTCTCAGCTATTTTGTTATAGCAGCAGAAAAAGACTAAGATGATGCCTGGTTAAGAAAAATTTAAATTATTTGCTGTATCTCCAAAGGTTGGGCTGTGTTATTTACTGGGCCAGCTGAAGTGAAGGAACAGATTTTTTATGGTGTCCTTGAGTTGTCAAACTCCTACAGGATAGGTCACTATTCTCAGGAGTTGATATGGTTTGGCTCTGTGTCCCCACCCAAATCTCATGTTGAATTGTAATTCCTAGTGATGGAGGAGGAGGGGCCTGGTGGAAGGTGATTGGATTATGAGGGCAGTTTTTCCCCTTGCTGTTCTTTTGATAATGAGTGACTTCTCACAAGATCTGCTTGTTCAAAGGTGTGTAATACCTCCCCGTTCACTTGCTCTCTCCTGCTGCCATGTGAAGACGTGCTTCCCCTTTGCCCTTCTGCCATGATTATAAGTTTCTTGAGGCCTCCCCAGCCATGCTACTGTACAGCCTGTGGAACTGTGAGTCAATTAAGCCTCTTTTCTTTATAAATTACCCAGTCTCAGGTAGTTCTTTATAGCAATGTGAGAATGGACTAATTCAGGAGTCTCCCTAAAAAGGGATCTGTCCCTTTGGACTCTTTATAAAGATATATAGTCAATTGAGGGTATTGGGGAATTATAACCTTTAAACAGCCTAACCAGAAGCCCCCCAGAATAATTAAGCTTGGACCATGGTCGGCATTGAAAACCTTGGTGCTGAATTCCATAAAGGAAAAAGATCCCACTTATTACACCAGGGAGATGATTAACCTTAATGGATTGTAAATGTATTATCCCTTATGTTGTCATGACAGTCACAGTTGTATGACAAGAATATTTATATCCTGTTTTTCCAGAACAAGGATATTTTATTCACTTAGGCATTGTCCTTAAAGGGTATCATTATTGATATAGTTAATGTTACATACCTTTATATTATTTTTTAGATTGCCTATACTAGATTGGGAGAAAGATACAGTTAGATTGATAATCATTTTTAGTAAAGCTTATATTTGTTATAAGAGATATTATGATAGCTAAATCACAACTATCTAAGCTTAAACCAGTAAATAGAGGAATATGATCAACAGAATAACAGACAAAGGTATGTTAAAGAGAATGTGACAGAAGAATCTTGTTCAGATGGTCTTAGGCAGAAGCCACCTGTTTTGTGTGGTTATCTGCTTGTTCTGAGGCTTTTGGGTTAGCAGTCAACTTGTGCAGATCATCTTCTGAAAGCCCTTCAGAGAACTTTGGGATCTCTAATAACTTTCTGATTCTAGTAAGACCTTTTCTATTTCTCCAGAGGATTGAAGTGATATGAGCAATAAGGATTTGTTTAAAAGGCAAAGCTTTTATAATTCAAATCATGAAAACCATTCCAACTTAATGCGTCTCTGTATTATTAGATAGATGTCATGTTCTTGGTGGGAAACACAAACTCTAATCCCTTTTTAGCCATTGTAAGTGCTGGCTTTTTGACAAGGGAGTGCTTCCACTCATCCAGAAAATAAATATACCATTATTAATATATATAACACACATAGAATGAAGTAGTTATATAAAATCCATTTGAATGTATTCCAAGAGTCTTTGAGGGTATGGCTCTAGTTCATACCCCACATTTATAATTTTTCCAAATTAATTTCATTACAGATAGGCATTATCTGACCACATTCTTTGCCATACTCAAAAAGTTTCTATTAGTGATTAGTATTGTGGAAACTTTTTCTCTACTGTGATAGGTTGTTTTATAGAGGATTTTAGCAAGTGTCTATTTGAAGAATTTTTTTTCTTCAACTTATTTTAAGTTCAGGGGTATATGTGCAGGGTGTACAGGTTTGTTACCTAGATAAATGTGTGCCATGATGGTTTGCTGCACAAATCATTCCATCACCTAGGTATTAAGTCCAGCATCCATTAGCTATTCTTCTTGATGATCTCTCTTCCCTCACTCTACCCCTTACAGGTCCCCATGTGTGTTGTTGCTGCCCATGTGCCTATTTGTTCTCATAACTTAGCTCCCACCTAAAAGTGAGAACACATGATGTTTAGTTTTCTGGTTTTCTGTTTTTCTGGTTAGGATTGCCTCAGCTATTCAGGCTCTTTTTTGGTCCCATATGCATTTTAAAATAGTTTTTTTTTTTCCAATTTTTTAGTTTGCAGAGGGTAATGGCTTCCAACTTCGTCTATGTCACTGCAAAAGACATGATCTTATTTTTTTTCATGGCTGTGTAGTATTTCATGGTGTCTATGTACCACATTTTCTTTTTCCAGTCTGCTATTAATGGGTTGATTCCATGTAGTTGCTATTGTGAATAGTGTTGCAGTGAACATACATGTGCATGAATCTTTATAACAGAATGATATATGTTCCTTTAGGTATATTTCTAGTAATGGGATTGCTGGGTCGAATGGTATTTCTGCCTCTATGTCTTTGAGGAATTTCCACACTCTATTTCACAATGGTTGAACTAATTTACATTCCCACCAACAGTGTAAGTACTTTCCTTTTTCTCTGCCACCTCGCCAGCATCTGTTATTTTTTGACTTTTTTATAATAGCCATTCTGACTGGCGTGAGATGGTATCTCATTGTGGTTTGGATTTTCATTTCTTCAATGAGTGATGTTGAGTTTGTTTTTTTTTTTTCAAACATTTGTTGGCCACATATATGTCTTACTTTGCGAGGCGTCTGTTCCTGTTCTTTGCCTACTTTTCAATGGGGTTGTTTTTTTTCTTGTAAATTTGTTTAAGTT